CTATTAGTATGCAGTGTCCCGTAAGGATACATGTTAGTATTCTAAGCTTTTCTTTTTGGAGGTTAGTTAAGCTTTAAAAGCCCCTTATGTTATACATTTCCAGTAAACTCTGCCAGTTTATATCCCTCAGTATGTTTCTCTTCCTCCGGGGAGTGATAGCTGCCGCCTCTCTTGCGAGACAGTCCGCCGTCTCGTTACTCTATATTCCGTGGGGCCAGGTATTTACGTTAACTTTATGTTTTTGTGCCTGCCAAGGGAGTTAAGCTTCTCAATATACTCAAGGGCTAATGATGATTTTATTTCATAAGATAATAGAGCCTTGATTGCAGCCTGGTTGTTACTTAGAATTATGTTAGTCTCGTTTCGGTGCCCTCCATTTATGATTGTCTCCGCACAAATATAGATGACGTAAACTACTGCTTGAAAGATGCTGATCCTTGGTCTTAAGATTCGAGCCCCTATTCCCTCTGGTGCCTTCGAGCCGCCTGTGGTCCCTGAAGGAGTCTCTCGGAATTGGTCTGTTTGCTGCATAACTCCATTTGAAACCTCTTCTCAAAGCCTATACTTCTTCCTATGTCACCTCTACGGAACAGAGCTAGCGGTAGCGAGGACCCCAGCTCCATGAGGATTTGACCTTACCTCTTCCAAATCACTCACTAACCAAGCTCAGCTGAGTTCTTTTGGTGGAAGTGGATTAGGACTCTAGGCTTGTTGATATAGCAGCAGTGCTCAATTCCCCGCGTCATAATATTCATCCTCTAATTCTGCAAGCCTGAGGCCGAGAAAGACGGTGGCGTTGTTTGGGCGCAGATTGCTTCTGTTTGAGACCAGATTGCTTCTGGTATCAGGGTCATGGGATTGGAGGTGCATGTGTAGAGATGTTGGTCATTGTGTCGACCATGATCACATGCAGGGCAGGTGGTTGCTACTTGTGCGTACAGCCGAGAGAGAGAGAGAGCTGTTGAATCAGTGGCACCACCAGGAACGAAGTTGTGCTAGGGTTCCTCAGGTTACTTTTGGGGGTTCCGCTTCTTCTACAGTTATGGGCGTGTGTCGACCGATCTGGATGTCTGGCTTCTAGTCGTTCAGGCGTCGCTCAACGTGTCACGAACGCGGTTCGTTTCGAAGCGGGCGTTGTTGAGGTGGTTACATCGGGGACATCCCACAATGAATTGATCCGACAACATGGTGTTGTCCTCTTTTGCCGCCAGCATCTGGCTTTCTTTATGTGGGTGATTCTAGGGCGACATGACATGGCAGTCTGTGCCGTACGTAGAGATCCGTTCTGCAATGTTTTCAGATTTATCCACTGCCTGTTTTTCGTTCTGCCGTCTGCGACTTGAGGACTTTGTTCCCGGCACGCACTTTGTTGCAGGTGACTAAGGCGTGCGCGGAGGAGAACAATTTATTGGACGGCGCTCCGAGGATTTTGGGGTGATTGGTCGTCGGTATTTTGGCGCCATTGACGGAGGGTCTAGTCTGAGCCTAATCTCCTTGGACCTTGTTGTGAAGAGTGTGGCGGGGGATTTCGTGACGGATATTTTGAGGTTCCTTGCAGTGAAGAAGTTCGAAAGATTGGTGAGATAGTCGGTTATCTTATGGCAAAGGCTGTCGATGTTTGGGCCCATCACTATTATTGTGCAACAAGAATGATAGAATACAAGATTGCGCCGATCAGAGAGGATTTTTGAGAATAAATTTTGTGTGACGTCACACTGGTGCAATTGCGAGAGAGAAATGCCAAAACGTGAGCAAGAATGGAAGAAGAAGAAAAAATGTTGCAAGGAAAACGCAAACAAGTTGCACCAGTGTAACGTCATGCAAACAATGATTCTGTCAAATTCGTTAAGAGCGGAATAGCGGTCCGAAATCGGCGCAACCTTTGTATTCTCTCAATCGTGATTGTGCAATTATCGGAGATTAAACAGTGTCGGGTAGAGTACGCCGCCTTGAGGCACCCGCTCTTTAATTTTACATGGCTTGAACTTCGAGTTTTGAAATTCGACTGTAGATTGGATGTTATTTAGTTATCCATCGCTTCGTCCGAGCTGAAAGCAGAGTCTTGGCAAAGAGTTGCGTGGTTGACCGTGTCCAATGCCTTCGAAAGGTTAATTTTGGTATCGAACAGAACTTTTATGTACGACCTGAAGTCCTACGGTTTGTCATAATGCAGTTGTATTTGGACATTCTTTGCTTAGGAAATGGGGGTTTAGCTGCCTGTTCGTACAGATTTTTCAAAGTTCTCTGCAAATTTACCTGCTCCAGCTCTTCCATTTTTAAGTTCTAATCGGTTTATATACCAAACCTCCCCAATAGGCTTGGCATATAGGTTCCCTGTAATCAAGAGAGCTCGATTTGCAATTGATACCTCAAAGTTCCTAAAGAGCTTCGCCCTTATGCAATAGAGGACATTAGAAAACTTCGAAAAGATCCCCCTACCATCCATCATGTTTTCAATTCAGAGCTCTAAATAGCGCGGTGATTGCTTCTCTTGGCAATGCCATCCGCTCTGATCATAGAGAAATCATAGTTGTTCGTCTACTATATGCGGACTATATTAGAGGATGCATCACTCAGCTCTGTGGGCATACTTTCGCTGCTGAGAGGCTGACTCTATCCTATCCAAGAGTAGATTTAAAGGCTCCCCATTGTCTATAAGAGAGTGATCCATGGTATAGATATCGTCCTCTACGTACAGGAAGCAACATACTGCCTCCTCTTGTTCTCCATGGCCTTCTCAACTTTCCCTTCATTGGCGTATTGGTTTCTTCTGTGTAAAGAATTTCCTGTAAGGGAACTATTTATGCCTGATATAGCTCTCTGCAATTCTTCCCATTGGTTTTTAATAGAAAATATGGAAGACTGATGAGTCGGTATGACTTTGATGCTATAATACTCATAACTAGGGCTGTGCGATTAATTGATTACTCAAAATTTTAATTAATCATAAAGTAAATAACTCAATTATTCGATTAATTGGAAATTATGATTACTCAAAAGTTCAGTTACTCGAGTAATCAAGATTTTTGATTAACCAAAAACAAAAATATTTGAGTAAAATGCTTTATGATTAATCAAAATTTCGAATAAAATGAGTAATCAACATTTCAACTCTTTACATATGTATAAATTAGTTAAAGTTCCTTGATACTTTGAAAACAACGTTTCTGTTTTCAAAAATTAAAACAAAAATTTTTTTTCATACACAGAATGTAAAAAAGAAAATAAGCATTTTCCAAAGCAAACTCTATTACGAGCAAAATTATTTTTTTTGAGTAATCATATTTCAAGTAACTCGATTAATCATCGTTTTGAGTAATCAAAATCTTGATTACTCGAGTAATTGATTAACCGAATAATTGATTAACCAACTTGCTCGAGTAATCGAATAATCGCACAGCCCTACTCATAACACATATCGTTAGCTCAATATAGAAAGTCCCTACTTAACATTTATGCTTCTATACAGACTAGTTAATTGAAAAACCTAACAAATAGTATATAGTTCCTTAGCTGCGATTTCTATGGATTATCTGTCAAAAAAGCTGCGACTAACCGTAAGAGTCGGCTTCATATTTATTGTTTTTTTTTTATGCCCCAATATTTTCTATTCGAGATTTTTTAAATATCTGAAATTTAAAAGAAAATGAGTTAGCGCTTTTTATATTAAGGTAAGGTATATATGTATATGTGTACGTACATTCGTTTGTTACCACCTGGTTTTTTTTTAATTTTTCGTTGCGAAACTATTATTCTAAATATGCACAATTTTTTTTTTTTTTGTAGAACAAATGCTTTAGCGTTAACGTCACAGTTTTGAAATTCGAGTACCTTCATTGTGGTTAGTTTGGTTAGTAAAATTTGCACACTTGCCGACGCTAAATTAAAACTAAAATTACATGCATATGTATGGATGTAAATACATACATTAGGGCGTCGGGCGACAAAAAGTTATCGCTTCCCTAATGCAAATCATAACCTCTTCAATACCTCCGGGGGATGTCAAAAGATGCCTGTTAAAAGCGCAACCCTTAGTACTAAGTTTAAAAGGTGGCGTATCGCGCATTTACATTTTTTTAAACGACTTTTTTTTGATAGTAGAAAATAACTACAACTATTTTAACTAAAGTTGCGTTCCAGATGCTTCACGATTTACAGGTTTTTACAGGAAGCCGTTCCAGGTTACCACCTTTCAATAGGTTTATTAATGGAGAGAACAGCTGTTCCTGCAAATCGTGAATAACGTGATGCATCTGGATTTAATCTTAAGGTTGAATAACCGTTAAACCAGTAGGTTTATCAAAAAATTAAAAGAGACGTTTTTTGTATAGCGTCTATTTTCCTATAAAAATATGTTGCACTTTTCAGTTCGACGTTTCAAAGACGATAAAACTAATTTCCAAGTTAAAAGGTTTTTTTTTTTAAAGTAATTTATATGGAAAATAGAAATCTGCGATGCGCGATCTTTTAAACTTAATATTAAGGGTTGAGCTTTCAACAAGCATCTTTTAACATCCCCCCGGAGGTATTAAAGAGGAGGTTTTTAAAAATAAGAAATTTGAAACAGTCTAATGCAAATGCATATCGCTCGAATGCTGGAAAAACATCTTAGTCCAATTTTTAGACGACGCCAAAAATGAGGTTATGAATTCTTCGGAAATTTTTTTTATCGTTTTTTCTATCGGAAAGGTGGTGCCTCAGGGGAGGTCTCATACTAATTTGGTTTAGATCCGATCATTGGATCATGAAGAAATTAACGGTACTCCTAAATTCTTATATGAGAATTGAAGTCCGTTGTGTTTTTTGCTTAAAAATTACTTGTTTTAACTAAGTATGAAGAAATATATGTATTTTTTTTAATAAATTAACAGTATCTTTCAATTGGGCCACATACGAGAATTAGCATTTTTGTTTTGCAAGTTTCTCGTCTTTTTCACTTTGAAAGTACTATAAAACACGGCTAAATTTTCAACCCTTTTCTGAGAAGTCCTGTTTACTAGCTATCCCATATGAATCTATATTATTTGTTGCGAAGCCGACTTTCATACTCTTTCATCCTTATTTTTTGTTACAGCCGGAATACTATAAAGACGCACCACATTTCCGACCGGTGGGCGACGGACCAGAATACAGGCTGGAAATACCCAGTGCCAAGCTGGACTTCACTGGCACTTACTCGGTCATTGCGAGCAATTGTCATGGTGAGGCAAAGGCCGTAATATCATTGCAAATTTTCGCTAAAGGTAAGTACATACAAGCTCTCCTTTACTATCTATACAAACATACATACATACATATCTACGAAGTAAATTTCTAATTTTTAGCCATTAGCAATAAGTGGTTTTATTAAATGTTTGTTTTACGTTCGACAAGATTACTTAATGTGCGCGTTAACTAATCTAATTACTTAAACATTACTTTACGGACTACTTAAGTAGATTTTAACCAAGCGTGGAAAAACCACATCCTTCCAAAAATCCTCAGCTGCGCCAAGCAAGCTGGCTACAAATTCCATATCGGCTTGCACCCAGACGTAGTGTAGAGCACCGTTGGTATCGAAGGTGGGACTAAGCACACAATAAAGCGCTTTTGTCACATTCGCCATATACATTTGGATTTGTATTTGTGCCATGTATTTAGGCGCAATAGTTTCACGGCCTTCGAGGTACTTTTCGAATTCCTCATCGGTTTTTGGTGCTTTTATTTCGACGATGTGGTCATCGGTGATACCATCGGGCGATGCACATATGTATGGATAGCTTTCGTTCAGCAATAAACCGCATTCACTGTACGTTTTATTCTCTAGTTTTTTCAGTCTGCTTCAATATAAAGCGTTTATGCTGCTTTAATTGCTGCTTTTCCTCAGCATTGTACTCACGCTCCTTGCAGAACAATAGATCTATAATGTGTTCATCCTCTAGAGAATCCTTGCGCGATGCAACCCGATGTATGAGTGAACAGCGTAATCGCATGTATTGAGTTTCTAACCAAATGGGAGTCTTATAACTTGTTTTCGAAACTTCTGCAAGTCGTTCAAAGAGTCCCTCTTTAGCTTGATCTTCCATGTGTTGCACAAATGAACGAGAATCCTTCACACCATTATTGGATGCATCCAACATTATGTGATGTATGAAAAGTGGCTCGAACTCGTCCAATACAGATCTACAGTGGCGGTACAGCGCTGAATCTCTTAAACCTAAATTCTCCATTTCATCAAGTACAGTATCGAAGAACGCTTGCCCTTCTGGCTCACTAACAGCAGCTGCCTCTAGATCGGCTTCCAAACGTAGTTCATCACAGGCGAATATGTCGCGAATACGTAGCGCCTCAACACGTTCCTCTTCAGCTAGCGCTTCTATTTCACTACCCCAATAGTCTCGTATGGCCGGCGCATCGGTATCTGTACTTTTACGATGTAGCCAGAAGATGAATGCGAGTATATGTGGACAAGATTCTACATAAAGTTGGAACAATGACATCAGTACAAGTAACATTCTTGGAATCTCAGTGTTAACATACCCTTTTTGGTGCACTGATCACATTTCGTCTCTGATATCTCGTCCTTTTTCTCATCCACCTTCAGATCTACATTTATGTGTGCCTCATGGTTACCGCCAGAAGCTGCGGGAAATACCACCGCGCGCAAATCGAAAACATCACCAGCTCTTCTGACTTGTACAAAATCTACGCGTAAATCCACATTATTGCTATTACTAGAATATGTTTAAGATATATTAATGTAGTATATTTTATGGAATTAGCTCAATTGTGATAAAAGTACCTGCTAGCAGGCTGCTGCTTCTTCCCGCCACCGCCGCTGGTGGCAATCTTTGTGACGAAACCGAAAATCGTCTCGCTGCGCACCATCGGGATATTATTAATGTCCGCTTTGCGATACCCCGGCTCCAAATCCATATGCATCACAATCATTTTGTGCCAAATAATTATTGGCAGCGGCGGTAGCTATTAAAATTGTTGAAAATTCTGTGCGGACAATGGAAATGATAAAATAGAAGCTAAAATTAGATAAATGCTTGCAATGCTGCCAGATGTTGGCGGAAATGGGTGTGTGCAAAAAGTTGTTGTAGGACCGTATGGATACCAGGCTATTGAGTTTTCTTTTTGATTTGTAATTAAAATTTTTTCTTGAAATTAACAACACAGCTTGAATGTGCATTTATTCAGCTGGCAAATTATAATTCATTTTTTTGTTTGAATGTAGGCTTTTGTATAGATATTTTTGTTTAGTTGCAAGTTAGTTGTAAAATTGTTGCTTGTGTTAGCTGATTGAAACAGCGTGGCAGTATTATGCACAATTCACGCGAGATGGCGCTCGTGATGATAGAAAACAAATTGTTGCGCCTAACTGTATGCTATGATAATTGCAATTTAAGTGGCCGTATTGTCATTTCCTTCTTCCGACGACGGTTGTGTGTTTGTTTCATTTCCCGCATGAAGTGTTCATTAATTTGTTAATTTATTTAAATTTTGTTATAAAAATTAATTATCCACGGCATTGTTCTAATGAAATTAAACATTTATTTACCAGTTTAATGAATTAATAGATTTGTTCGTTTTGAAGAGTGAATTTATGTGTATTAGTTTATTTGATATATGCTCCTTAACTGAGAGCATTTGGACCTCGCTGATGCCACATCAAAAGGCATCTCACAGCTGTTCGGAGCGCTGTATAATGGCATGTATGTACATATTTATGCACGTTTTGCCTTGTCCCAATTGCCGCCGAGCGATTTGAATACTGTGCTGCGGCTCTGTACTTTGTTGACGATTGCGGCTGTGTGGCGGACAAGGAAAACTTGCTATGAAAGGAAACCACAAAAACGTTCGGTTTTTTTCAAGGCTGGAATCGTAGTGTTATCGGTCTGTATGCCCAAGCTTCAGCTTGATCTCCTTCGTTCTTGCGGTAAGAAATGGACTCGGTTCACTGCTAAGGGAAAAGTGTTAGGTTCGGTGCAGTAAAGAAGCTGAAAAGGTCTGAGAAATAATCATCATTATGAAATATGATTACCCGACGCCAAAATCGAATAGTTATTGGCGTATGAGATCAAGGAAAGGCTCTCATGTAGAATAGTAATTTCGATTTATGAAAAGTTTTAGTAGAGTCAGGACACCACAACAATGCTGATGTACTTCTAAGCGTGTAAATGGCGGTAGTATCAAGTCCTCTCAACTATGTTCACAACTGGGGGAGAGAAAGACATCGGGCGATGTGACTCCCTAGGTTCCCAGGTTTCCCGAGTTTCAGTAGTTGCACACCACCCTAGCTACTTTCTGCTTTTCAGTTATTACCAGAATGATGAGCGACAGTTTAATGATTTGGAAAATCCAGCCGTTGATTTCAACTAAAGCCTTCATACTCCAGCCGAACCCTCGAAGAAGGTAAGGCTATGGCTGCCGTTGGGTATGGCTATGTATATAGTTTAGAAGAGAGACACATTTAGGCTCAATGCACCCAATGTGTTTCCATTTGCCATGCTATCGAATACAATTTGTCCCACTTCCAACTTTTAGACCCCTTTTAAAGCCATCTATGTGTATGGTTATAGAGCTTTCTTGTTGCCCCATACTCGATTATCTTCTCATTCGTTCCAGATTGGGACCAGGAGTTATGTAGTCTGCGGGCCTAAAAACGTCGGAGTAGTTGGCTATTATTCGTTAAAGAGCTTCCGGCTATTTTTTAAGAAGTCTTCTATCTTTAAATGGCTCTGTAGGACTGGCATTCTGAATGGATTATTATTGCGCAGTGCCCCGTCAAAACTCCCCTTTTAACCAGTGTTATCGCTTTGCATAGTGGAAGCGCTTTCCATATAACCTCACTGAGTCCACTGAGGGTCTATATATTCCCGAACAGTCTTGAATTGGCGGCCAAAGATACCGCTATATTTCTACGCACATGAGAAGGATGACCTTGGTGTGCATGATTTTGAAATAGTCAGAGGCGATGAAGATGTAAGTCAGGCATTTAGAGGCCCAGCTCGAAAGCGACATCAACAAGTCTATGACCCTGATAGCTGAGTGGTTATAATGTTAACTTAAACTCCCGAAATAAACCGAGCATCCAAATCGACCTCGCCCATTTTATAGCTTGCTATGTGACCAAACTGTCGCAGCGGATGGGGTAGGGCAACTTCTCAGATAAGATTGAATTTATACACCCTTTCACCACTACTTAGGTTTTGTTGTCTATTGGAGGCTCTGGAAAGAAGGAACTGTCATGTGGTTGCTTATGCGGATGACCTGCCGCTTATCTATTCCACTTAAAGTCTATTGTCATGTGGAAGCTATTCCGGAAGCCAAACATGAAAGAAAGCAGTGGCGGATCCAGCGGGGCGGCGGCGGGGGTTTGGGGGTTAAACTACGTGCCAGTCAGTGGGGGACCCACGGGGGGTGTTTTAATGTGGCACATGTGTATGTATAACACCCCCGTTGGTCCGCCAATGACTGACACGTAGTTTAACCCCCAAAACCCCCCCGTTGGATCCGCCACTAAAATGAAGGGTAAAGAAGGTTTCGCTAGATTTATATTGTTGTAGGGATACCATAGCCAAGCATTGGAGTCTCTGGAGAAAGGTGGTATACACGTTATTAAAAAATGTCTGAAAGTGTGATCCAACAGCCCATAATATAACATATGTAAAGAGCTTCTTAACTTTTTGGTTTTTTTCTTTTTATAATTCTCTTTCTTTAATTCTCAAATATTTTTCAGATATACTAAATAATTTATCAATGGAGAAGGGTTCTATACGTCACGGGTAAGCCCCTCCTATTGAATTCCAATCAAGTTTCTTCCAACAGATTACTTTAAACAATTTCAGCAACGTTGAAACCTTCCCGCGCTTCATTCGCCACCTCCGAGACTTGCGCTGCTGCGATGGCGACGCCATCACTTTGGAATGCCATGTTGAAGCATTCCCAGAACCGGTAATCATTTGGGAGAAAGATGGCCGCGTGCTGCCGAGCGGCAAAGACTTGACAATGTCCTACGATGGTATCAAAGCCACCCTTAGCATACCACGCATTTATCCAGAAGATGAGGGCGAATATACCTGCGTCGCTAAGAACAATCTCGGACGCACACTTTCCTCCGCCTGCATTATTGTCGACGTGCCCGAAGAAAAAGAGAACATGCTGAATCGTCAGCTATCACGTCCCAGTGGTTTGCTGTCAGCCAGCTCAACTCCACGTTCAACGCCACGTTCCACACCCAATCGTTGCTTCTCACCGCGTCGCCTCTCCTATCGTTCGTCACAAATCGATCTAAGCGACGGACGTATCGGCAGCTATCGACGCGCAATGCTGGATTCGCATTGCGTAGCTGCGCCGAAATTCCTTGCCATTCCCCACAGCCGTGTCGTCGAAGAGGGCGATAGCGTGCGCTTCCAATGCGCAATAGCTGGTCATCCCACACCCTGGTCCACCTGGGATAAAGAGGGTATCATCGTTACGCCTACTGCGCGAATAGCTGTGAAAGAGGTGGATGATTTGCGTTTTCTGGAAATTGATGAGGTCACATTCGATGATGCCGGCTTGTACCGCATTACTTTGGAGAATGATTACGGACGTATTGAGGCTACAGCACGCCTCGATGTGATTGGTCGTTCGCGTTACTCGCGTTCACCTTCCGCGCGCAGCGTACGCGCATCCTCATCACGACGCAATGCACACATACATCGACGCATTATGGGACCATCGACGGCGATCGGTGGCCGCATGGCCTTGGCTACCGGCTATCGTGGATCCTCTGTGCCATCCTGTAAGTTCTATAACAATGGTTATGAACTGGAGGAGGATGATGAGCGCGTGCAAATCGTAGTGAACGAACATGAAGCGCTGCTATGTATTGACAATGTGACCGAAGCCGATGAGGGCCTGTACACATGCATTTTGCAAGGTGAACACGAGCCACTGCTCTCCAGCACCTGGGTGCAGTTCCAGTCAACGGAGGATGAAGCATTGGCTGCGCGCCTAAGAGAGCCACGTATTTCCCGTTCACTTCCCACGCAATTGCAGGCATACGAACGCGATACTGTAGATTTATGCCTAGAATTAGAGTGCGCAGAGCCATATAGCTACACCTGGACGCGCAACGGTGAGTTGCTACCCGACGATGAGGACTTCAAGTGAGTACCCATTTAGTTTTCCGAGTATCATAGAGTCCTACTATGTATCTCCTCTCTCCAATGCAGTCAAATCGATCACGGCAATGGCATACTCTGTCTGCGCATAAACGACGCTTTCGATTTAGATTCCGGCGAGTATGCCTGCGAAGTGCGTACTGCTGCCGGTCTAACTTGCAGCACTGCTTGTCAGCTTAACATTATCGAAGCCGAAGAGGAGCGTTTGTCTGCCTTAGCGCAGCATGAATGTCAGCCGATTTTGCTGAAATCACCGCTGCCGCTACTGACGAATGTTGGTGCTGCTGAAGTGGCATTTTGCGCGCGCGTTTACCCACCCGAAGCCAATGTACAATGGTTTGTCGGTGGTCGCGAAATAGTAGAAGAGAATGAGGATGAAGCCAGCGAGCATGAGTCATTCGACGATGATGACGACGACGAGGACAACGACGGCGCAGTGATAAAGGTAAGTGATGGAGGAGAGGGAAGCTATTTTCGACAGATGAATTTTTGGAAGAAAATTCCGCACGCGATAGTGACTAATATTTAATTAGTAAATGTATTTTTAAATTTGAGCGGAGCAAAGTGTTCGTATGTACTTACATATGTGTGCAAGAGTAAGAATACGCAGACCCTTTAGGCAAATCCACAAGTACCAAATTCGGGCGCTTCTAGCGCATTAAGAATTAAGTTTTTAACTGTACAAGAAAAAGTAAACATATTATATACGTGTCTCCCTTTTTCAATTCAGTAGCCTTAACTTATATTGTATAGCCACTTTTCAAAGGCATAACGTTTTATATTTATTTCGTATCAATATTATATGTTCACTTTAAAAATAACCAAGAAATATGTCTCGTTTGTGAATCACAAAAATTTAGACCCAGCTTTTGTAAGACCCAAGATGTATGTTCAGTTTTTAAATGACTAAAAATGTATATCCAATTTTTGATGATCGAAATTACATTAGTCCAATTTTAGAAAGTCCAAAAATGTCCAATAATTATGTCCTAACATTTATGTCCAGTTTTTAGATGACAAAAATATTTGCCTAGTTTTCAAAGTAACCAAAACGTTATGTACGTATGTATGTATATCAAGTTTTTAAATGACGAAACATTTATCTCCACCAAAAATTTGTCTCGTTTTCAAATGAACAAAATTTAATGACCGGGTTTTAAATAACCAAGTTTTTTCAAAGTTTTAAATACCAAAAATTAATTTACATTTTTTAAATTGCCAAAAAATTTATGTCAACTTTTTGAAATAACCAACAAAAAAAGTCTATTTTTAAAAGGCCAAGAAATATATGCTGAGCTTTTAAGTGACTAAAAATGTATGCACCAGTCAAAAAAATACGAAAAAATGTATGTACACACATATGCCAAGTTTTTATCTCCAGAACAAAAATGTATCTCGTTTGAAAATGACTAAAAATGCATGCCCCGTTTTTAAATGAGCAGGTTTTGTCCGGTATTAAATATCAAAAATTATTGGTCAGTTTTTAAATTGCCAAAAATAGTAGTGCAATTCGAAAAGACCTAAGATTTATGTCCATATTTTAAATGGCCTAAAATTCCCAAAAATGTTCGCCCAATTTTTAAATGTCGACAAATTCATGTCCACGTTTTTAATGCATCAAAAATGTATGCCCAGCTTTTGAATGACTAAAAATTTAAGCCCAGTTTTTAAGAAGCAAATTATTATATCCAGTTATATAATGACTAAAAATTAATGTCCAGTTTTTCTTTAATGAGTAAACATTTATGTCCAGTTTTTATGTGAACATAAATTCATGCCCAGCTTTTAACGTATACAAAAATTATGTCCTGTATTATATAATATATATATGCCCAGTTTTTAAAAAACAAAAAATTTATGTCCAGCTATTACTTTCAACCGTTCAGATTACTTAACCGAAATGTGAAATCTGGAATGCATACTAAAATATCGCTATTAAATGCCTATAATTTCTTACCACATACATAAAGATGTATGTATGTATGTACATATCTTCTATAAGCAGACTTTTATACGCAAATTCATTAATCTAGGCCAAGGTTGCATCAGAGCTCAGAACCATATGTTGCCATGCAAATGACTGCCTGCTTTCTTTCTCGGCAAGCCTTTCAAATTTTGATTTCAACAAACATATCGCACATTGTTCGAAGCAAGTGCAGCTGTGAAACTCTTTGCAAGCAATTGACTACAAGTACATATGTACATACAGTAGTCACGACTGACCAATCAATGTATTGCTTAGAGAATGAACAAATGGGAAATCTCGTGTGCATGTACATACATAACTTCGCATGACCATGCAATTTTGACCCTCCAACAGTAGGTTTATTGCGAATATTTGCCGGATATTTTTGTATAATTTGTTTCTTCGAGAGTTTGATTTTGGTTTTTTGGAGAACATTTGCTAACACTGATACAATACATAGTTGAGGTAAATTTAGTGCAATGGGGCTCTGGAAAACTCCTTCTGAATCTGCTACTTTGTATGCAGGGAAATGGTTTTTATAACGCTGTGCAGCAATTTTAGGGCTTAGAGCGCCAACCAAATTATGTTCCAACGGTAGAGTCAATAATTGATTTAGGAGGATTCTTTTCCACCTCATCATGACTATTAATTACAAGGTTAAGTAAATTTAAAGAGTTCACACTGAATATCTAAATTTCGATGCATTTTTTATTTGATAAAAAGTTCGCACTTTGCCATTATATGTTTGGAAAACAATACCGTTTAAATCTCCTCCACGGAACCGTTTGCAGGACTGAGCTAATTTTTTATAATTTTTCACACAACCCGAGCAATAAATTGACAGTCAGTTTTACGGCGATCACTTGCCGATTCTATAAATACATTTTTTTTGCGATTAAATTTAACTGAAACAAATTACTTAGATCAAACCCAATCTTATCAATACTTTGAAAGTCCTTCCACATAAGCAACGCGCTTAGCGTTTGTCTTAAGGTCCCATCGATGTTGAAACTACTTCAGAATAAGTATCAAAATACCCATTCTGCTGGGAGTTAAGAGGTTGAAATATTCAAAGAAAAAAATTATCACTAAATTTTACTACAGATCTCTGAAAACCAGAATTATCCATATAAAAATGTTTGACCAGCAAGTTAAGACTTAACTCCACTGCAAAAATTGTGATAGGTTGAAATAAAATTTTCTTAGAGTTTGATTACAACACTTGGACGGTAACGTGAGCACAGTTTGGTTGAGACCCTAAAATAGTTCATCCACTGTGCGATTGGTGGTACACATGCACATTAGACCGCACCCTCTTACAAGCAAAGAAAAAAAGTTCGGAGTGTTTGAGGTCCATGAACTTTAGAGCCACAAACATCGATATAACATAATTCAAGGTCTTACTGTAAATGCCGAAGATATGACAAATAAATTAAAAAGGCGACCCCTATATTCGCTGAAACAAAAAATTTCGAAAGTTTCTTGCAAAAATACTTTAGAGTCATGGATGTAAGACGAACTTTTTTTCTGGTACAGTCTAATGTACATACATACATATATGCATGTATTTTAAAATGAATAATACATTTTTACAAAAAAATATTATTTTTATAAACGAGTATGTAATTGCTATCGATTGTTCACATGCGTGCGAAGGTGTTTTGTTTTTATTTTTGTATATTTTTTAATGTGTTGTGGTTACAGCTAACTGACCGCTTGTCAAAAAAAAAAAGCAAAACAACAACAAGACATACATACATTAGTCAGCTCTAAATATGTTAATGAATAAATAAAATAACAATAAAGATTGCGAAATAAAAACATTAAAAGAATTGACATTCATTGTGTCAGCGATGATGGCTAGCTGGTGGCAGCACAGCAGCAACAACAGCAAAAGCAACAAGTAGGGCAATAACGACAATGAAAGTGGAGTAGTGGTTAAAATATGAGGGCAGTTTGATAAATCAGTGTTACTTTTTTAATAAAAAGGATTTCGCCTTTTAATTTTTGGTATACCTTGCAAAAAAATGGAATTTCTCAAGGCCCTAGTTAGACACTTGTTTCAGTGATAACCTCTGGATTCAACCAAAATCTTTTGCCGCGGAACCATATCTTGAGATTAGAAATTAGCCAATAGCCGAAGGGGGCCCCCTATATGCTAGATAGGGCAGGAATCGTAGCCCAAATTGTAAAAAGTAAACAGAATTAATTTTTTTTTTTCATTTTCGCCGAAATTTCCAAAGCTTCGCTGTAAAGTACGAACTAAATTACGCAGTACCCCAGTAAGACATGGTTTTTTGGGCAGGAGCAGTGTTGGTTTTAAAGTTACTGCGTGAAAATTCAAAAAGTCACTGACTTATCAAGCAGTCCTCGAAAGTAAAAAAATGGCAAAAAAGCGCGAATCACAAAAATTTGTGCTTCGTTTCATTTTTTATTTTTTTAACTTCAAATCGTCACAACAATACGTCGCACAGTGGTATGAGGATGGCGAAAAATTCAAGCTTCGAAATTCATCCAAACATCCAAATAAGCGGTTGGTTATATTCTAGACATTACTACTAACACGTTTTAAGATTTTTTCTGAGAAAAGAGGCAATAATAGTATTTAAAGGGCACAGGGAGTGTTCTAAATATGAGTCGTATTTCTACGCAAGAATTCGGATAAACATTTCAAGGACTTAAAATTTGTAGTTGCATGATTGATTGGCGCTGAATTCGCCTTTGCTTTTAATGCCAAGGGTTGCACTTTGAGAGGTTTTCATCTTTTCTCTTAGTCCCTTCAGAGTTGAGAAAATTTATATGATTTCACAGATTTTCCATGGCTTTATGTAGAGTTTAAGTACCTTGCGGCGCCGTGCCGAGAAAGGTGACTGGTATAAGAATATTCTGTATACTCTAAGCTAATAGAAAAATAAATTTTAGCCACGTTCGCCTGCGTCCCTTTTATTAATTTTACATATACTGAATGCCCTTGTGTCTCTATATAAGCTTCGACAAAAAAAGTAATTGTCATCCGATTTTTTTGACATTTTCTATGCAGTACTTTTGTGTAGGAATAAGGCAGTATCCAAATGATATTTATACGTCGGCGAACTTCCATGCCCACTATGGGCAGATAATATCCAGTTCTAATAAAATTTGGTTTTTATGTTAATTTCTGTATGGTTGGTGGGCGATGTTGCTGGTCGACTCTGACCATCTTTCTGATGTATGTTTATATCGTTAAAACTAAAATTTAAACCGAATTTCATTAAAATCGGTTAACATTTACCATTTCCGCCCCTCTTGAAGTGGGTGTGGCAGTTTTAAAATCTATGCCATTTCTTATACATATCGTCGCCTGGGTAAAAGATTGTCGTATGTTGATTTCGGCAGGTTGTGGGAAATCGCGATTGAAGTTTAGAATGCAATTTCTCAAAAACGCGAAGATAGATATTCTCCAAAGTCTCTGAAAATGTTACTAGTTTACAAAATTCTTA